GCCGTGGAGACCCCACCAGATGGACCTGAACCAGTGTCCAGTCTACAAAGAGGAGGGTCAACACAGAGGAAGTATTTCCTCCATGCTTCCAAGTGAAGCCAACCATAGTCGAGCAGGACATTTGACTTATCTTCACATAGATGGAACTGGTAAAAGAAAGGAGTCAGGGGTGCCTCCCAAGCCCACGTCAATCCTGAGGAACAGATCCTCAAATGACCTTAAGAATAAAAATAATTTCTTTTATCTGGGTCCACTGTAGGGTCTTAAACACCCAAAAGGAAAGTATAGCCAAAGATTAATGGGATAATATAATTTTTAAGAGTCCATATGTATAGCTAAAGGCTACATAACAAGAAATAATGCCAGACAGGTGATACCTTCCTTTGACTTATTGGCCAAGGTGGCACAAGAGACTCCTAGACAGTAACCCAGCATAGAACTGGGAAAATGAACATCAGACTCCAATCTTATCTAAAGGAATATCAACAACTGATTGCTGCTAGATGAGGAACAGCTGATCTTCCCTAAAACATGGGTCTCTAGATAGGCCGGCTAGATTCAGCAGATGGACAAGCACTGGAGAATGGCTGGGGGTGTCAACAACACAGAAGACAGTAACAGGGATGACAGAGTGTGTGGGCTCCAGTATGTGGGAGGAGGGAGGCTATGGGAGGGTGCCATTTGGGAAGTGGGTATATAGATGAATAAGATTGTGTGGGATGTTCTGTATGACATACATACTGAAAAATCAACAAATTTTAAAAAAAGACATATTTGAGGAGGAAGCTTAAAAATTTGCTTCATGTTAAATAGTAGAAGTGATAAACATTACCAGTGAAATCTACCTGATGACTTTACATCCATACTCAGGTACTAAGGATCCAAGTGTAACCAACTATGACTAGTAATCATCAGATACATAGATATTAAAGACACATGTGCAAACATCTAAGTTTTAGTAGCAATAAATATGTACAAAACAGCATATTTTAAAATGAAATGAAGATCTTTAAAGGGTTAAAACTCGTTCAATTTTATATCTTACAGGGTTTATACTGAGTTCAATATTGTATAACTGTATTAATTCAATTGTGAACCTAAAAATTTACAGCCACTTTTGAAAGCGATGTATCCTTGCTCTGGAGTGTGTTACTGAATATGTTAAAGCTGTAATGAAATTCTTCTAATCATCTGGTTATTAAATTTTAAAAAATTTTAAAAAAATCTTCAAAGCATAAAAATTTGGTCCTTAATAATTAATAGATATGAAAAACATTACCATTGAAATCTACCTGATGACTTTATATATCCATGCTCAGATGCCAAGAT